CGCTCTGTTGCCCAGGCTGGAGTGCAGTGGCCGGATCTCAGCTCACTGCAAGCTCCGCCTCCCGGGTTTATGCCATTCTCCTGCCTCAGCCTCCCAATTAGCTGGGACTACATTAGCTGGGACTACAGGCACCCGCCACCTCGCCCGGCTAGTTTTTGTGTATTTTTTAGTAGAGACAGGGTTTCACCCTGTTAGCCAGGATGGTCTTGATCCCCTGACCTCGTGATCCGCCCGTCTCGGCCTCCCAAAGTGCTGGGATTACAGGCTTGAGCCACCGCGCCTGGCCATGAATTTAGTTTTCAAGGCTATAAGGCTCCTGTTGGCATCAGCCGCAATGGATTGTCAAGTCCACTGAGCATTCTTGGTCTGAGCCCTAGGCTCATGGTTCTTAAACTTTGTTGGGCATCCCATCCCCAGAATTCTGATCCAGAACACAGGAGCCCAGGCTCGCTGAAGCAGGACCAGGCCTGACCTCTGATTTTTACCAGGTCCCCCCAGGTAATTCTGGTAAGGCCAGAGTTAGAGAGCCATTGACTTGGTGCCTTGCTACTCAAAGTGTGGTCCACGGACCAGTAGCATCAGCCACCTGGGAGCTTTGCAGACTCTGGAGTTTGCAGAGTCTAGTCCCATCTCAGACTTACTAAGTCAGTTTGAGAAGATGTCTAGAAGATCTGTGTGCACATAAAGGAAATTTTGAGAAGCCTAACATAGCCAATAGATGAGTAAATGCTTAGTGGATTGTCAAGTATTAAGCTCTGCTTGCTAGAATTGAGTGTGCACTCTCATTTCATCCCCATGAACACCCTGCAAGGGAGGGGCCTTTTCCCCATTTTACAGAAAATTACATTGAGGCTCAGAGAGGTGGGTGACTTCTGAAGCCACACGTTCATAGGTGAGGGAGCTGGGGTTGGAATACCGGGACCCCATGCTCATCCTCACGGCGGCTCTGTCGTCCTCACACAGGGATATGAACAGCAATGACATCTGATGTGAACACTTTAAATAACTTTGATTCAACTTACCACGGCAGTACATGGACCAGAAATTTACACAGATGTTCATCCACCAGGATTGAAACAAGAGAAGGTTTCTAGCCAATACCAATGTCCAACTCAGCAAGAGCCAACCCCCACCCCCGCACCATTTCCCAGTGCCTCAAACTTTCCACTGAGAGTCCCTGTAAAGGATTCATAGCAGGCTTACCGTGTTCATCCAGCAGGATGTTATCTGGCTTGATGTCTCTGTAAAAGAAAACAAAGAAGCTGGCAATGTAGTTCCTGAGCCCACAGATGAGTACATCCACAAGCGCCACATCAGGACAAATGCTGGCAACACCCAGGCTGCTCACCTCTCCCTGACCTGAGGCCTCAGACAGGGAGCGTGACAGTAATTGGTAAGATAATGGGATACCTGTGTTCTTATTGCCTCTTATCTTTCCTGGAAATGCAAGTAGATTGTTTGAATATTTTTTTCCTGAATATTCTTAATTTTTAGCCTCTCAGCTCCAGCTGTAATGGTAACAGCAGTGATTGCTCACTGAGCATGTGATCAGTGCCAGCAAGGGGAGGCACCTGCCCACCCTGAGGTAGCTGAGCCATCCCACCAGGGCTCCCTGCAGGTGTCATGGCATCCATTTGAGCTCAATGAGGGTTTGGAAGTTGTCGTGGTCAGAGATGGGCAAACTATGGCTCTTGGCCAAATCCAGCCCTGGGCCAGTTTTTGTATGGCCTGGGAGCTAAGAATCACTTTAACATCTTTAAAGCACTGTAAAAACAAAACAACATATATACACACACACACCCATGCACACACAGAAGAACATGCAACAGAGATTAACGTGGTCGTCAAAGCCTCAAGTGCTGATTATCTGGCCCTTTATGGAGAAAGTTTCCTGACCTCTTTTAAGAGTAACATAGTGACACACATGGGGCAAAATCTGGGCTGAGGAGTTTCTGGAAAGTTCTGCTCTACATCACCATTAGAACAAAAGGCCTCTCAATTCCAAGTGAAACATTTTGAAGGCTGAGGCTTTGCTTTCTTTACGTCTACATGCCTGTACCTAGCACAGTGCCTGACACAGTGGTAGACACATGTGAAACACTACTAAGTATAAGGATGGAAGAATGAAAGTGAGAGAAGAACAACTTCAGCTCCAGTTTACTTATTATTAACGTGTACACACTTGGTGAAGCTCTGCATTAAAACCATAGATTTTACAAATGCATAAATTTTCACTCATTTATAACAAATGTCAAATCTACTGAGACTAATGATAGCTTTCTTCAAAATAAAGAGCAACTGCTCCTGAGTTTATCAAATATTAACTCTACCCAAAAACACACTGTGGTAATTGGTAGTAATGCAATGCAATGCCTATGGGTTTGGGGATGAAAGAAGCACTTAACCTATACATTTAAATTTTTATTTTCATTGTGACTTTTCAAGCCCATGAGTACTGAGGAGCACTGAGTATGTGGGCCCCTGCTGCCGAGGTCACAAAGCCTCCACTGTGAACAAAGAGATTACTGCAGAGACACACATGGAGCCACATGGGAGGGATGAACTTGGTAACTTATAAAACTAAAACAAAAGGCAGAAGGCCTAGAGTCAAGTGCTTGTGAATGAAGTCAGCAAATGCTTGCTCCCTGTCCAGGGTGGCTCCCAGCAGGATTTCTCAACAAAAGATGAGAAAAGAGAAAAGAAAATACATGTCAAGAATGAAAACACAGCAGCAAATGCTCAAGCTTTATCTCTTAAGGTATCACCGGGACTGAGATGATTTAATGTGTGGTGTGGGGACCAGGGAGGATGTGGCTGTGGCCCAGGGAATGTGAGCTACAAAATGCCTCCAAGGGCCACAGCCTAAAGATAGAGTTAGAGTCAGGACACAGGTGAGGCGAGGGTGGGATGACAGACCCAAGAAGATGTGATCTGGTGTACTGGGTTGAATGGTGTCCCTCCAAAATTCATGTCCACCCAGAACCTCAGAATGGGACCCTATATGGAAATGGAGTCTTTGCAGAGGCAATTACTTAAGGATCTCGAGATGAATTATCTTGGATTTAGGGGGGACTCTAAAGACTCGTGTCTTTATAGGAGCAAAGTAGGGGGAGGGATTTGGATGCAGACACAGGAGAGAAGGCGGCCATGGGGAGATGAAAGCAGAGACTGGAGTGATGCAGCCATAAACCAGGAATGCCTGGAGTCACCCAGAGCTGGAACAGGCCAGGAGTGGATTCCCTCCTGAACCTCCAGAATAAGCACAGCCATGACTCCACTTTGATTTTGGACTTCTGGCCAGAATCATGAGAGAATAAATTTGTACTGTTTTAAGCCACCAATTTTGCAGTAATTTGCTGTGGCAGTCCCAGGAACCTAACACAACTGGCACAGTGGAAGGAGAGCTGATAGAGGGGAGGGCAAACCTCAAAGGGCAGCTAGGGCCCCACCAACCACAGCATGGCCTTGGACAAGCCCAGTGCCTGGCCGCGCCCCCACATCCACATTGCACCGGCTCACAGTGTCTCATATCCTGAGAACAGAATGGGGCACAGATGTGCCCAGCTTGGTTCCTAGACCCCACAGAGCCAAGGAAAGGGGTTGTTCTGTTTGGGAGAGTTCAGTCCATGAGCTGGACAGTCTGGGTGATAGTCCATGAGCTGGACTATCTGCATGATCCCTGCCTCTGCCTCAGTTTCCTTTGCTGTGTGGATTAAATACCTGATACATAACACACATTGCTTCTGTGCTGGCTCTTAGCACAGAGTTGAATCTCAAGCATTTACGGGGTGTACCCTTTGTGGTCATGAAGGACATGTCATGAACAAGACAGACCCAGCCGAATGGAGCTTGCATTCTAGGAGAGGCAGGCCAGAAGGCACAGGAATCAATGGCAGGATTGTAAACTGGGGCAGGTGAAGAAGGCAAACCAGAGTCTAGAAAAAAGACTAATAGAGGGACCCTAGTTTTGGTAGATGCTCAGGAAGACTTTTAAGAAGAGGTGACATTGGGTTGACAACTGAATGGCAAGAAAAGGTGAGCTGTGCACCACCTAATGAGCGAGTTCTCATTTTGCAGATGAGGAAGTAGGAGGATGAGAACATAAATGATCTGTCCTGTGATGTGGTTCTAGCCATGGAAGCTGACAAAGGTGATGGGTGTCACCCTGTTAATTCAGTTATGTCAGGGCAAAGTTGGTGGGATGGCAGTCCCGGGATTATATTACATTGTATGACTCTGTCTTGGCAGACTGGAGTGAGAGCTCCAGACATGAGCTGCCATGTGGGAGCCAGCCACATGGCGGGGAATGTAGGTGTCCCTGGGAGGAAGAGTGACCACTGGTCTATGTGTAGCAAGAGAACGGGACCTCAGTTCTGCAGCCACAAGAGCTGAATCTGCCAACAACCGCAAGAGCCTGGGAGAGGACCCCACAGCGTGTTCCAGAAAGGAGTGCAGCCTGGGCATGTGGATTGTTGTTTTGTGAGACCCTATGCAGACAATCCAGTTAAGCCCACCTGGACTCCTGGGCCATGGAAATGGAGGGAAAATAAATGTAAGTTATTTTAAGCTGTTAAGTTAGTGGTAATTAGCTGCACAGCAATAGAAAATTAATTCTCTAGCTATATGATCTTGGGCCACTTACTCTGAGCCTCATTTTCCTCATTTGGGAAATGGGAACACAGCAGCAGCCATCTCACTGTTGCTGAGTGTACAATGACATTTATTCAGTGCTTCACACCGTCCCAGTGCAGTGTGGAAGAAGTGCTGAAATAAGTCACAGTGATAGGACTGTCATTGCTCTTTCAAAAGCAGCTGGGGAGAAACTCAGAGACAGACTGGCAGATTCTTGAGCCTTTAGCAAATTAGGTCTCTTTCAAAGGAGACTTGCTGGACAGACGCCTGCAAAGCTGCGTGGAGGAGACGGAGAATCTCAATCACTTGAGATTTAATAAGAATAGCATTTTATGGGGAAAGCATCTTAGCAGAGCCTTTAGTTTAGCCGGTTTCAGGACCGTTTCCTCCAGCTCTATTTTTCACATCGATCATATCTCAGCTCCAGCGCGTCATCCTGTTGAAAATGGGTTTGAACGTTCAGAAAGGGCATTAGGAGCATTGCGTGGATGGGAAGGCGGTGACAATGTTTTCTGAGGACAGGCCCATAATTTCAGAGCTGGGCAAAATGACACTTTGATGGAAAGTATGCATGCAGAGCTATAAAACCCGGCGCTGCTCTTGAATTATTCCCCAGCCCTCAAATAAAACAAAGCATAAAATGTCAGCTGGGCTATTTTAAAAAACAGCATAGAAATGGCTCTGATCCAGAGGTACCCATGCCCAGACTGCCAAGCAGGGCCACCAGGATGTTTCTGCATGTGTCTTTTGGCAGGGGGCTTCTCAATATTCTATGCTGGCAATCTTAAGCAGCAGTAAAGAGAAATACAAAAACCTGGAGGGGAAAGCTAAACTAAGTGAAGTAAAAATCTGTGGCTATTTTATCGCTAGTGAAGGGAACATGCTATCCATATTCATGCGAGAGGGAAAGGGAGGTAGTAAAGGACAGAGAAGAGAGACGTGAGATCCAGTCCTGAGTCTGCCTCTTGCTGACCATGCAGACAGGAGCACACTGCCCTGGGTGAGTGATAGGGTTTGGATCTGTGTCCCCGCCCAAATCTCATGTCAAATTGTAATCCCCAGTGTTGGAGGTGGGGCCTGGTGGGAGGCGACTGGATCATGGGGGTGGTTTCTCCTGAATGGTTTCGCACCATCCCCTTGGTGCTATTGTCATGACAGTGAGTTGTGGCTGTTTAACAGTGTGTGGCACCTCCCCCAATGTCTCTCTTGTTCCTGCTCCCGTCATGTAAGATGTGCCTGCTTCCACTTTGCCTTCTGCCATGATTGTAAGTTTCCTGAGGCCTCCCCAGAATCCAAGCAGATGCTGCCATGCTTCCTGTACTGTCTTCAGAACCATGAGTCAATGAAATCTCTTTTCTTTATAAACAACCCAGTCTCCAGTATTTATGACAATGTGAGAATGGACTAAGACAATGAACATTAGCTTCCTCACCTATAAGTTGGGTAATAATGCCCTCTCTATGGCTACAGTAAGGATTGGATGAGATGGTTCTTACGACAGCAACCAGCACAGGGCCAGGCACATGGAAAGGCACAATTGTTAACAATAACAGAGTGAGGCAAAGACATTTCAGTAGGAGGCTGAGCCAACAGAACAGGCACATGACCA